GGTAGTTGAATTCCGAGAGGGAGCATCCTAAGAGCCAGTTTTAGGAAACTCAGGCAGAAGCCTCGTGGCTTGTTGTTCTAGACACAGAAGTCACTTCTGCTGCATCTTATTGGCCAAACAAGTCATTAAGCCCAGCCCATGTTTAAAAGAACAGAACTAAATTCTACTTTTTAAATTTTTATTGATGCATATTTATTACACAGATTAATGGCTTCCACTGAGGCATGTTCACACATGCATATGACATAATTTGATCCATTTTAGTTCCCAAGACCTCACCTTGTAGATTGTACTTCCTGATGTGAGGAGCAGAGTGCAATTTTAAGTTCGAGAAGGACTCGATGGTGTTCATTTTTGGACAAGATCTGTTACACCTCCTGAATAAAATGAAATGGAAGACTCCACGCTCAGCATAATGGTGTGTGAGAAACAGACCTGTGTCCCAAAGGAACAGCAATGCACATTGCCTGTCTGGAACCCTCCCTCCACTGGGTGATGACAAAAAATCATCTGTCCTGAAATGTTTTGATCATAATTTTGATCATGGGAGAATTTATAGCCAGAATTCATACTTCCGATGTGGTATTTTTAAAAAAAACAAGTGTGGAGTCTGATTTATTGTGGTCCCAGGATCACATTCCGATGCATCCCAAAACACCAAAAACATGGCAGGTATAAATGCAAAACTTCTCTCAAAGAAAGTCGAGATAAGCCTTGAAAATTCTCACGAAGAAAGTTCCAAAGAACAGGGACCCATAGTTCAAAAATCACAAAACATACCACATCACCATGGGTAAAGACGGCGAACTGATAGATGGTAGAATCAGACCATTAGAGACTTCATGGTGGAATTATTAGATCCAGAGTATAAAATAAGCACATTTATGAGATTATAGGCCCAGGCCTATAATCCCAGTGACTTGGGAGGCTGAGACAGAAGGACTATAAATTTGAGGTCAACCTCAGCAACCTAGCAAGACCCTCAGCAACTTAGGGAGACCCTGTCTTAAAAAAATAAAAAGCATCGAGGATATAGCTCTGTGACAAAGCACCCCTGAGTTCAATCCCCAGTGACAAAATTTAATTAGTTAGACATTCATTTCTAGAAATGAAAAGTCAAATGCAATCATCTCTCCTTATCCTTGGGGAATTGGTTCCAGGACTCGACACCAACACTAAAATCTTCGAATGTTCAAATCCCTTGTATAAAATATGGTAGTTATTTGCATATAACCTACACAATTCTTCCCATGTACTTCAAATCATCTTTGGATTATTTACGACACCTTATACAATGTAAATGCTATATAAATAGCTGTTATACTGTATTGTTTAGAGAATAGCAACAAGAAAAAACCTGTATGTATTTATCACAGACATTTTTTTCAAATATTTTTCCATCAGCTGTTGGTTGAATCCATGGATGCAGAACCTGCAGATATGGAGAGATAACTATAATAGAAATTTAAAAATGCCAAATAGAAATGAAAAAAGAAATGGATTTACACTGAATTAGTCGTGACTGAATCCAAATTAGGTTAATAAAAGAGAAACCTATACTTCAACATATCTTGGTACTATTTCACAACACAAAAGACAGAGAGAAGATCCTAATGACAACCAAGAAAAAAAAAACTCATTTGTGAGGCAGTATCACGTGACAGTTTAGTGCGGTGGATAAGAGTGTAAGGGTGAAGGGTAGTTGGTAGGAATCTGAGCTCTGGAACATATTGGCTAGGTTTCAATACTGGTTCTATGAACTGCAAAATTGCAAGTACATTTTGGCAAGTTACCTCTCTATGACTCAGTATCCTCCTCTCTAAAGAATAATCAATAATATTTTCCATTCATTTTATTATCTGAAAAATGCACACACACTTTTGGGAAGAGACCTAACGTTAGTAAATCCTAGCCTTTGCTATTCAAGGAATGACAGCAACAAGCTGCAGAGGAGAGTGACCCTGGCTAGCAACCTGGAATTCTGAATTTATCTTTATCACTGTTCACTCTTTCTTCTTGCATTTTGGACTGCCCACCTGTTATCAATTTTCTTTTGCCAAGAGTACAAACTTTATAATTGCCTTTAGTGAGTGAGGGTTTATTTGCAGTTAACTCCTTAAATTTTCTTTCCTTGAAAGTTGCATGAAACCCCTAGGTTTAAACAGGTTAAAAAATCAGACTGTCTCAAACACTTCCCATGGGAGTTCACGCACACTGTTGGCAGAGGTATGAATTGGTAAAACCAGTTGAGAAAAGAGTAATACCCAGAAAATATAGATATGGAGAATATTTTATATGCATGCACCGAGAGACATGTATAAGAATATTCATAGGAGCATCATTCCTAATAGCAAAATATGGACAATAACCCAAATCTCCATTAACAGAAATATGGATAATTAAATTGTGCTAGTCATCTTAGCAGCAGTGCCTTGACTGAATCTCAAAATATAAAGATGAGTGAGGGAAAAATGGTTTCTATATTATTCCATTTCTAAAAAATGCAAAAATATACAAAGCTAAATAATATTTTCCATGGGATACATTTTTTGTGATAAAATGGTAAATAGAAGCAAAAGAATCATTAGCATGAAATTCAGACTGATGTTGATCTCTGAGATCAGGGATATGGAAATGATTATGACAGTACTAGTAATAATTTTTTTTCTCATGCCTGGGAGTAAGAACAGAGGTGACAATTTTATTCTTATTTACACATTTTTGTTTGTATCAAATATCTTGTAAATAAAAGATAAGTGGAAAATTCTAGTCAAAATGACTTCATAGAATCATAATTTCAAGAACATTAATTAATATCAAGATGTTAAGCACCTGTCCCATCAGGCGAATGGGGAATTCAGTCTTATGCATTACAAATGTCCCCCAATTTGAAAGTCATACAACAGTTGGATATTCCCTAACTTGCAGGTTATGCAAAACTTGAGGTCCTGCAAGAGTCAGTTCATCAGGGAGACCTCTGGTCATCAGCCACAGTTCCACACCCATCCACAGAGCCATGCTATAGGTTATCTTTATGTCCAGTACACCCCACTGTGTCTACCCCACAGTTGGGATGCAGAGGCTTAGGGGCTGGGGTCTGGAGGCTCCTGGGCTTGGAGTTCAGTCTCCTCAGCACATCATACAACTAACCTTTCACAGGCCTTTCTAGTTCCCTATGTGAATCAGCCTCTGTTTTCGGGTTGTGCTTCTTTCATCTCTCAGTGGATCTTTATGCCGGTGCTATACTTTAATTATTAGAGTGTCAAAATATATATCAACATTGTAATAAGCCCTTTGTCATTGTATTTCTCCTTGTGGCTTTTTTTAGCCCTAAGTAGCTGCCCCATCTATTGTGGAAGAAAAGACTTGAAATGAAGCTCTCTCATCTCCAGATGCCTTGGGATACCCCCACCTCCCCATTCTCCCCTGCTGGGTCTCTATTTTCAAACTCTTCTCCAAAAAGAAAAGTGAGCTGGGTAGCGGTGGTGCATGCCAGTAATCCCAGTGACTTGGGAGGCTGAGGCAGGAGGATCACAAGTGCAAAGCCAGCCTCAGCAACTTAGCAAGGCCCTAAGGAATTCAGAGAGATCCTGTCTCAACTGTCTCAAAATAAAATACAAAAAAGTGCTCAAGAGGTGGCATAGTGTTTAAGTTCCCCTGAATTCAACCCCTGGTACCAAAAAAGAAAAAGCAAAGAAAAGAAAACTGAATTCTTAACTGAATTCTTTAAAGAAAGCCATCATCTTTGCCAATCTCCTTTCCTAACCCATTTTTGGCCAGTATAACATCATCTCTACTTGAGAATAAATTGTAATGATGAAATCTACAACAGAGAATTGTTCATTTAACATAGTTACAGAATATAACTGGCACTTGCTTCTTAAGTCCCCATTGAAAAAGCACCCTTCCAGAATCATAATTCTGCCAAAGTTTGCACAACAGAACTCCTTTCTCCCAGTTGAGCAATTTGTAGGTTTGCTTGAAGAGATATTGAGTCCCTCAAACAAAAAGATCTGGAATCTCTTGGCTTTTACTTTCTTAAATAAAGATTGCTGGGTTTGTTTCCTTTCCCAGGGGTGACATTTTTTTTAACCAAATTAGAGGCTTCTCCTTGGTTGGAAAGAGGAAAAGTCTTGGGGAAAGGGAAAAATAATTCACTAAGCCTCTCCCCCCCCCCTCTCTTTTCCATATCAATGTTCTTATTCCTTAAAAAATTAAGAATTCATTTGAATTTTAAAATTAATTTAACTTAATTTATTTTATTTTATTTCAGCAACACACATTCACAGACAGTTCAACAGTTCTGAGAAGGGAAATCTAAAATCCCCACCTCACTCTCCCACACCCAACTTCTATTCAGAGATAATCTCTGTCCATTCTTCTTGTTGCTGTTTCTGGTATTTACCTCCTATCGCTAAATAACATACTGTACAAATGTTTATTATTTCCCTGCTTCAGCTGGGATGCTTTTTCTCTGATGAAAGATGGGAACTCAGGTTTCTTACACCCATCTCTCACACATGCACATCATCTCCCCTATTTCCTGAAAAAAATGATATCACAGTATTTCTGTATGTATATTACTCACTTTGTAAATATTATTCACAGCTGAGCCATGTAGTGTACTGTGGTTATTTTCCTTCTCTGATCAAGTTTCTTTTTCACTGCAATTGTGTACAATGAGTCAAAATGCATTTTGCTATCATATATACTTACTAATTAAAATAAATTAAGAAAAGAAAAGAAAAAAAGAAACATTGCTCACTACAAGATCACAAAAATTTACACTTACATCCCGTTGTAAGAATCTTGGATTGATTTTTCATCAATTTTGAATTGGTTTTTGTTTACGGTGTGAGGTGAGGGTTCAATAAATTCTTGAGCCTCTTCGTATGGACATCCAGTTGTTCCAGTGTTATTTGTATTTGAGATATATATATATTTATATATATATTTATATATAAATATATATATTTATATATATATATATAAATATATATATATAATATAATATATATATATATATATTTATATATATATATAAAATTCAGAATTAAGATAAAGTGAAAATATTTTCTTGCTAAAGAAAAAATAGAGAATTCATCATTTTATTAAGCTGTGTTAAAAAAAAAAAACTATTGAAGAAAGATCTTTAGGCAAAAAGATAAGATCCCAGATGAATCTCAGAGATGCAGAGTAGAACAAAAAATAATGAAACTTGCAAATAGATGAATAAATGAAATGAAATGTAATCATAATTAATGCAAGGATGATAAAAAATGTTGAGGTCTTTCATTCTGAAAAGGCCTCTATCTACTCTCTCATTTATTTGCTGGTGTCTTTCACATGAGGGCCTTTCCTCAAGTGTGCAGTGGTCACTGATGGCCGTTCATAATCAGGGGTGATGTCATAACAGGTTGATTTGATGCTCTTGTGAGTGAAAGGGATTCACTGCATTGTAGGCTCTGAAGTCAGGTAGAAAACAAAGCAGATGTCCAGCTTTGAGGCTAGAGGATTCCCAACCGCTGTCAGCCTTTTTTCTAGGATTGCGTAGTTTCCCTGTAGGCAGAAGCCCCAGGGTCCTGCCTTGACAGGCATCTGTCTGTCATCATTCTGGTCACCAAATAAGGGAAGGGCACTGGGTCCTCACTTTAGCATGAAAGCTGTCTTAGTCGCTCCAGAGTTTCAGAACATCACTTCCCTCCAGCCCTCCACTGTGTCAGGGATCAACTCCAAAGAAAAAAAATCTTTATTTTCTTGTGAGAATGAGGAGGAGCATATTCCTGGTGGGAGAGGGGAGCTCCTGTTCAGCCTTCCAAAAAGTGTCCCTGGAGGTTTGCAAGGGTCCAGTGGGTAGAGTACCTGGTCAGCCCTTCTGCAGGGAGGTTTTTAAACTCTCACTAGCTGTTTAAACTGAGGCACACTTCTCAAAGTCTCTGAGCTCCCATTTCTCCATCTGTGATATGAAAACTCCTCCAGAGTTGAGATGGGAGGGGAATGAATGTGAAGTGCCTGGCACAGTCTGCCTGGCACAGGGAAGGCACTCAGCTGTTGGCAGTGCAGAGTCCTTGGTAGTGGTTGTTGGTGGTGGTTGGCAGGATCCTTAGCCTGGTTTCTGTGGACAGAAAGGATCTCCTCCCACGTCAGGTGCTTTAGTTTCCACTCTCTGCTCATGTCCTGCTGAAGCATAAACAGGACTTCAGGGGTGCAACAGCCTTTGCACCTGGCTTTCCACTCCTCCCTTTCCCTGAGTGCTCAATCCAAACCCTTAGCATCACCTCCTTTACTTTGGCTCCCATCCCAGGGAACCCACAGCGGGAGCAGTGATTGCAGTGACATCAGTCCAATCCCAGGTCTCAAAGTAAAACAGATAGTGTCCATGACCCTGCCTTCTCCCCTGTTCCATGCCTAATTTCTCCACCCTCTACATAGTGCCCCGGCTCCCCCTCCTACTCCTCCTGTCCTTCCTAACCCCAGAGCAAGAAAGAGGCAAGGGAAACATTCCTTGTGCCTTCATTGTGCAAGAACCCTTCTCCCAGGGCAAAATGAAATTCCTCTTCCCCTCTCTGACCTCAATCCTTCCCCCTGCTTCTCTCTCACTGTCCTTGTTTAGGGCCTTGGTAATTGCTCTGTTACAGGGCATCCTTTCTCTTCACAATATCTTTGCCTGAATTCTTTTTTTCTCCCCCCTCTGGTACCCAGGATTGAACCCAGGGATGCTTAACCACTGACCCACATCCCCAGACCTTTTTCTATTTTATTTAGAGACAGGGTCTCGCTGAGTTGCTAAATGCCTTATTAAGTTACTGAGGCTGGCTTTGAACTCACAATCCTCCTGCCTCAGCCTGTGGAGCCACTGGGATTACAGGCATGCCCCACCATACCCAGCCTCTGCCTGAATTTTAGGATGCACTTCTTCTCTGGGGATGCACTTGTGATGTTCTGGGGCCTCTGGTATATTTGTAATGGGCTGTATCTCAAAGATTTATAGGGATGGGGAGCTGGATATGCTGGGGAAGTTAGAGATGTTTTAAAATTAAGAATGTAGAATGCCTGATGGGCCAGAGATCTGGATACAGAATCTGATGGAAAGCAGGCTCCACTGTGCTTGACATTTTCCCCCCAGTCTGAGATTTCAGCATTTAAGACTCTACTAGGGGGTTTCTCCTCCTACATCGTTTAGACTCAGACACTGAAACTACACCCAATGAAATGTCCTAAGTAGGTCTTATTAACAAAGGTCATGGTTAATAAGACATGGACATCACATTTGTCAAGAGTGACGTAATGACAGTGTCATCTGGATGCTGAGTGAATGAAGGTGGACACAATGGTACGTGAAGGAGCCTCATCTAAGGACCTTACACCCTCGTTTCCGTTTTCAGCCACGCACAAACAGGAGAGCTGCACTTTGTCGTTGCCCTCTGTAGGTGTTCTTTTCTGAACACAGCCCTTAATTTATCCTTGAAATTCTCCCCAGCAAAGTAATAGAGGAAAGGATTGAAGCAGGTGTTGGCTGCCGCCAAGGCCAATGTGATGACCACGGCTTTGTGCAGCCCGTCCCCGCACACCTTCTCATCCCAGGTGACCAGGTGGAGGGTCCTCAGCGAGTGATAAGGCAGGAAACACAGGAGGAAGATGATCAAGGTGATGATGATGGTGATCATAGCCTTCCTGTGAGAAGCCCGCAGACCCAATTCCGAGAGCTTCACCTTAGACAGGACTCGGATGATCAGCAGATAAGAGATGGTGAGTGTGAAGAACGGCAGCAGGAAGCCCACCACCAAGGCAACGTAGTTCATGATCAGCAGATTGTTAATTTTTTTTGGATCCAGATCCAAGCATGATATGAGCTCGCCCTTTGGCTCGGAGCCTCTCTTCAGCAGCATTCCTGAGGCAATCATGATAAAGAGCCATATGATCCCACAGAGGATCCAAGCCGTCCTGAAGCTGGCGACATGGAGAAGCCGGAAGGGGTGAACGGTGGCCAGGAAACGCACAACACTGAGCACAGTCAGGAAATAAATGCTGGTGTACATGTTGACGTATAAGGAGTATGACATGATTCTGCAGGTCAGGTCCCCAAATATCCAGTTGGAGCCTCTGAAATAGTAGTCAGCCCTGAAGGGCAGAGTACTTGTGAACAGGAGATCGGAAATGGCCAGGTTGAGCATGAAGACATTCACAGATGAGGATTTCTTATAAGTCTGCAGGAAAACATATATGGACAAGCCATTTCCCAAGGATCCCCAGACAAATATGATTAGGTAGGTGATGGGGTAAAATTGTCTCTTGAAGGTTTCAGTCGTGCAGTTCCCCATGTCCTGGGTTTCATTTGATGCCATTTCTGATGTGGAGCTGGACAGAAGCCAGGTCATGAGTTTTCTCTCCCAGCTGTGTTAAAAAGGAACAGACACAAAAAGTTACTTTAGGCATTTTCTTTTTCCTTCTTGCTCATCGATTACATCTTTCTGGGTTGTAATGAAACAGAGAGAAATAGTAGATTTTTCTTGAAACTCATATTGAAAAATATTGGTATGTCTTTACAATAGGCTGTATTATATGTCATGATAAGTTTCCTAATGTATAATATAGAGAATAACCATTATTTGGCTGGAGCCTCCAACTTGGGGAACTTTTGGCCTCGTGCTCATGTTGGTATGAATGCCTTCCTGCGATACTGCAGCCTGAATCCCCTGGACAGCAGATTCCTCATCAGAACTCATGGGAGGCAAAGGGAAATGGCATGGCATTTCTCATGTGCTTAAAAGACCTTCCAGACTAGAATTCTCTATCAAGCAAAAATATCCCTCAGGCATAAAGGGGAGATAAAGACTTCTCAGATGGCGAGAAAACTAAGGGATTTGTTTGTTTATTTGTTTGCTTTTTAACCATCAGAATTACACTAAAAGAAAGGGTAAAGTTAGCCCTTTAAACAGGAGAGAATTAAAAAGAAAAAGACAACTTAGAGCAATCAGAAAAAGTAGACTTCCCTTCTCTTGATGGGTCCAAATTATATTAGATGTTCGAAACAAACAAACAGACAAAAAAACTATTAATACACTCTGATGTGGTTGTATATGGATGTAGAGGAAGTATTTAAGATAACTATATTATCCATGAGGAAGACTAAAGAGACACAAAGGAAGGTCAAATTTCCTCACTTCATTTGAATGGATAAAATGATGGCAGGGAAAAGATGACACAAACAGAAAACAGAAAAAAAATGGCAAATTTATCCCCAATACCCAATAATTACATTAAATATAAATGGTCTAAGTATACCAATTAAAAGAGAGATTGGCTGAGTGGATTATTAAAAAAAATGACCCAACTATCTACTGTCTACAAGAAATTCACTTCAAATAGTGGTATTGGCAGGTTGAAAGGAACAGGAAAGGAAAATACATGTCATTCAAATCAAGGAAAGTTAGGAATGGCTCTATTGGTGTAAGATATAGTGAACTACAGAGCAAAGCAAGTTATCAGAGACAAAGAGGAGCATTATGTAAAGACAAGAGCATTGTCCACGAAGAAGACTCACAAGTTCCAAAAGGATATTAATCAAACAAGAATTGCAAGATATTGGAGCAAAGCTGGCAGAACTGAAAGGAGAATTGAACAAATCCACAATTACAGTTGGTGACCTCAAGGCCCTCACTGAACAATGGATAGAGAAAACAGGAAAAACTCAGCAAGGATACAGAAAACACCCCTAACCAACAGAATCTATTTGACACTTAGAGAACACGTCATCCAACAAGAGCAGGGTGCACATTCTCTTCAAGTGACCACGGAACATATACCAAGATAAGCCACATCTAGGGATACAAAGCAAATCTCAACAGGTTTAAAGAAATTGAAATCAGCACCCCCCCCCCCGTGCCTGCAAGGTAGGCGGACTTGCAACCCACCGACAGAACAGGCCCAGCGACCTGTCAGGGTGGTAGACACATCGCCCCGTTTGGGGGAGGGGCAGATCCGCCACCCGCGCCTGCAAGGTAGACAGACCTGCAACCGACAGACAGAACAGGCCCAGCAGCCCGCGGAGGGGCAGAGCCGCCGCCCGCGCCTGCAAGGTAGGCGGACCTGCTACCGACTAGCAGATCAGGCCCAGCGGCCCGCCAGCATGGTAGGCACATTGCCCCAATTGGAGGAGGGGCAGAGCCGCTGCGTGCACCTGCGAGGGAGACTTTGCAACTATACGAGAGCAATATAAATATATAGGAGGAAAATTCAATAACACAACAGTTTCACCAAGCAGAAAGAAACGCGAACAATATGAAAAGACAAGGAAAGAAAGGACCACAAGCAATGCAGGTCAACTCAACGTTAGAAGAGGTAATATCTGCAGCAGATGGAATGTCAGATAAAGAATTCAGGATATACATGCTTCAGATGATCTGGAGTCTCAAGGAAGACATCAGACAGCAAAATCAGACAATGAAAGATCACTTCGACAATGAATTACATAAACAAATCCAAGAAGCAAAAGATCAACTATACAGGGAGATAGAGGTTATAAAACACAAACAGAAATCCTAGAAATGCAGGAAGCAATAAGCCAACTTAAAAACTCAATTGAGAATACTACCAGCAGAGTAGAACACTTAGAAGACAGAACATCAGACAATGAAGACAAAGTATTTCAACTTGAAAAGAACATAGACAGCTCAGCAAGACGGTTAAGAAACCATGACCAGAACATCCAAGAAATATGGGATAACATAAAGAGACCAAACTTAAGAGTCATTGGGATACAGGAAGGTATAGAGGTCCAAACCAAAGGAAAGAGCAATCTATTCAATGAAATAATACGAGAAAACTTCCCAGACTTGAAGAATGAGACAGAATCCCAAATACTAGAAGGCTACAGGACCCCGAATGTGCAAAATCATAAGAGATCCACACCTAGACACATTATAATGAAGATGCCCAACATACAGAATAAGGAGAGAATTTTAAAAGCTACAAGAGAAAGGAAGCAGATTACATTTAGGGGTAAACCAATCAGGATAACAGCTGATCTTTCAACACAGACTCTGAGAGCTGGAAGATGCTGGAATAACATATTTAAAACACTGAAAGAAAATGGGTTCCAACGAAGAATTGTGTATCCAGCGAAATTAAGCTTCAGGATGGAAGATTAAATTTAAACTTTCCACAATAAACAAAAGTTAAAAGAATTTGCAGCTAGAAAACCATCTCTTCAAAACATCCGCGGCAAAACATTACAGGAAGAGGAAATGGAAAATAACAATGAAAACCAACAGTGGGAGGTAGGACACTAAAGGGGGGAAAATAATCAAAGAGGAAAAGGCCCAGTGGCCCGCGGCGGGACAGAGCTTCCAATCACTCCTGCAAGGTAGGCGGGCCTGCGACCCACCGGCAGAAGAGGAGCAGCGGCCTGCTGAGAGGCAGAGCCGCCCCCTCCCCCTGCACCGGCAAGGTAGAGGGAACTGTGACCACGCACAGAGCAGGCCCAGCGGCCTGCTGAGGGGCAGAGCCGCCCCCCACCCCCCGCGCCTGCCAGGTAGGTGGAACTGTGACCACGGACAGAAAAGGCCCAGTGGCCCGCGGCGGGACAGAGCTTCCAATCACTCCTGCAAGGTAGGCGGGCCTGCGACCCACCGGCAGAAGAGGAGCAGCGGCCTGCTGAGAGGCAGAGCCGCCCCCTCCCCCTGCACCGGCAAGGTAGAGGGAACTGTGACCACGCACAGAGCAGGCCCAGCGGCCTGCTGAGGGGCAGAGCCGCCCCCCACCCCCTGCGCCTGCCAGGTAGGTGGAACTGTGACCACGGACAGAAAAGGCCCAGTGGCCCGCGGCGGGTCAGAGCTTCCAATCACTCCTGCAAGGTAGGCGGGCCTGCGACCCTCCGGCAGAAGAGGAGCAGCGGCCTGCTGAGAGGCAGAGCCGCCCCCTCCCCCTGCACTGGCAAGGTAGAGGGAACTGTGACCACGCACAGAGCAGGCCCAGCGGCCTGCTGAGGGGCAGAGCCGCCCCCCACCCCCCGCGCCTGCCAGGTAAGTGGAACTGGGACCACAGACAGAAAAGGCCCAGTGGCCCGCGGCGGGTCAGAGCTTCTAATCACTCCTGCAAGGTAGGCGGGCCTGCGACCCACCGGCAGAAGAGGAGCAGCGGCCTGCTGAGAGGCAGAGCCACCCCCTCCCCCTGCACCGGCAAGGTAGAGGGAACTGTGACCACGCACAGAGCAGGCCCAGCGGCCTGCTGAGGGGCAGAGCTGCCCCCCACCCCCCGCGCCTGCCAGGTAGGTGGAACTGTGACCACGGACAGAAAAGGCCCTGTGGCCCACGGCGGGACAGAGCTTCCAATCACTCCTGCAAGGTAGGCGGGCCTACGACCCACCGGCAGAGGAGCAGCGGCCTGCTGAGAGGCAGAGCCGCCCCCTCCCCTGCGCCGGCAAGGTAGAGGGAACTGTGACCACCCACAGAACAGGCCCAGCGGCCTGCTGAGGGGCAGAGCCGCCCCCCACCCCCCGCACCTGCCAGGTAGGCGGAACTGTGACCACGGACAGAAAAGGCCCAGTGGCCCACGGAGGGGCAGAGCTTCCAATCACTCCTGCAAGGTAGGCGGGCCTGCGACCCACCGGCAGAAGAGGAGCAGCGGCCTGCTGAGAGGCAGAGCCGCCCCCTCCCCCCCGCGCCTGCAAGGTAGACGGAACTGTGACCACCATCAGAACAGGCCAGACCTGCAACCGAGAGACGGAACAGGCCCAGTGGCCTGAGGAAGGGTAGAGCCGCCCCCCCCCCCGCACCTGCAAGGTAGGCGGACCTGCGACCCACTGGCAATACAGCCCCAGAGGCCTGCAGAGGGGCAGTGCCGCTGCCTGCGCCTGCAAAGTAGACAGAACTGTGACCACCAACAGAACAAGCCTAGCGGCCCGCAGAGGAACAGAGCCGCCGCCCGCGCCTGCAAGTTCGGCGGACCTGCTACCGACCGGCAGAGCAGGCCCAGCGGCCTGCCGGCGTGGTAGGCACATTGCCCCAATTGGAGGAGGGGCAGAGCCACCGCCCGCGCCTGCAAGGGAGACTTTGCAACCATACAAGACCAATATAAATATATAGGGGGAAAATTCAATAGCACAACAGTTTCACCAAGTAGAAAGGAACGCGAACAGTATGAAGAGACAAGGAAAGAAAGGACCACAAGCATTGCAGGTCAACTCAACATTAGAAGAGGTATTAGCTGCAGCAGATGGAATGTCAGATAAAGATTTCAGGATATACATGCTTCAGATGATCTGGAGTCTCAAGGAAGACATCAGACAGCAAAATCAGACAATGAAAGATCACTTCAACAATGAATTACATAAACAAATCCAAGAAGCAAAAGATCAACTATACAGGGAAATAGAGGTTATAAAAAACAAACAA